TTAAAATACTGGCATTCCTTGAACCTCCACCCTTCTGCAACATTGATTTCTGTAAATACAGTTAAAACGCTTATTAATCCTTTTCTGCCTAATGCAGTAGAGTTTTTTTTTATAACATAATACACAACAATGCTAGCAACAAAATAAATACCACAAGACAAAACATAAAACACAATTTTTGTTGCGAATGTAGATTCACGGTATTCTGGGTTGCTCTTCAGCTGGTACCAGCTTTTCCTGAAGTTTTGAAAGGCAAAAATAACATTTTTCTACCCCTTTTGGGGTGGCAGATTATTACTTAAAATATCCCTTTCTTTTACAAATATCCTTGCTGATTGCAGGCAAAACAGGAATTACCCCCATACTTTCCTGCGTTTTTGTTGTATAGGCAGGCCAGCTTTCAATGGCTTCTACCTTTTAAGGGTTTAGGGGAAATTATCCCACTGTTCAGTCATTACATTCATGAGGTGGTGTACCTCAGTTTCCCTTTTTATACAGCAGACCAGATTTGTAATGTTTTTTTCTGCTGTGCTAAGCTTTAAGTTTATTTACAGGTAATAGCTGAGACGCATCATTACCATTTGACCTTAGAGGTTTTTTTAAAAAATCATACACACTATACATTGTTACAGGGGCACTTATTAACATTAAATATATCCCAATGTTTAATATTAACAATAACATTAGTGTCAAATTTATTAAAGGTAGAAACCTTGGGGTTTTGGTGAATTAAAAGGTAGGCGTGTCATGCATATAAGCAGACCCCTTTTGTACCTGTTTTCAGATTTCATCACTGCATACTGAATTTTCCCCCCGCCGTGCCTTGAAGGGCTTAAAACAACCCTGGGAGAGGGCTGTTTTGGGAAAACAGTCACAGCTGTAGCCTGTGTAATTAGGGCCCAGCTGGCCCTTATAAGAGGGCAGTGGGCCAGAAGGAGGGAGACTCTCTCTAGCTACATGGAGGGTGGAGGACCTGGCTGCCTGAGAAGCTGAGGAGGTCAGGGCTGGGGAGGGGAAGGGCAGAGGGAGCTGGGGAGCTCCAGCCTAGCAGAGCCCCAGGCTGCAGCCCGAGGCCGTGCTGAGGCAGGGCAGAGGGAGCACCAGCCTAGCAGAGCTGCAGGCTGAGATAAAGGCCCATCAAAGGGTACTAAGGCTGCAGAGAAGCAGCCCAGACCTAGACAGAAGCAGCTGGTCTGACCCCCCCCCCCCCCTTGCCGATGATGAGTGGTACAGGCTGTAGTCTGCCCCAGGGAGCGGGGGCTAGACTATGACTGACAGTTGCCACTGAGGCAAGGGAGGGATAGGGGGTTGGGGGTTCCCCTGGGGACGGGAGACCCAGACTGAGGGGGTATTGCCAGGGGGCAGAACCCTAAGCTAGAAGGGCACCGGGGTCCAGGAGGGGCATGGGGCCAGTGGCAGGCGAGACACTGACTGGCAGAGGGCACTCCTAGCTGAAAAGAGCTAATTCCCTGGACAACCAGCAGGACGTGCCGCAGTGGTGAGTCGTTGCCCCACGACAGCCACCATCAACTTTCACCAAAGTTCTGTTTACTTTTCACTTTTAACTCCTGCTTTCAAAACACACAGCGATCTGAAAAACAAAACCCAACCTATTGTGGCTCCTTTTGGAGCCCTAATAGGATTTTAATTAAATAGCATGTTTTGTTTGCATTTCTTTTACCCCTTTACAATATACACTGCACATGTCTTGGGGGGAAAAATGCACATTCCTTTCATAGTTTAACTTTTATAACATTATATTAGCCATATCAATTTTTACCTAAGGTGTAACTGTTTCTTTTGTGCTCAGAGTTTTTATGTACCCTTATCAAAATGACAGTCTGATTACACAGAGCCAGCTTAAGGTTTAGTGTTTCTAACTTTGCTTCTTTGTGTACCTCAACCCTGCTGTTGCTCTGGGGGGGCACTGTCTTTTTTAAAATTTCTTATTCTTTTACTACAGCTCTTATCTGCTATTTTGTTACCAAAAAAACAAATCTAGAATCTCTTCCCATTCTTCTGGTTTTGACTGCCCTGATGCAGCCATGGCTTTGGTTTTTAAAAAGCTATTGAACTTTATAAAGCATTGAGGTACCTTTCATGGTTAAATGCTAAATACCAAAACCAAACAACACTAGCTACCTGTGTCTGGCACAAAGTGTCTGTCAGTTTTTCAACTTTGAATGAAAGATTCAAATGGATTTTAATGGTATTATTTAAAAACAAATCAAAACAAAAAACCTATAAAACAGTTTTACAAACCAGGAGTGTTGATTTAGGTCCTCAACACACACACATTGATGACATCATCATCATCTGGACCCATGGAAAAGAAGCCCTTGAGGAATTCCACCATGATTTCAACAATTTCCATCCCACCATCAACCTCAGCCTGGACCAGTCCACACAAGAGATCCACTTCCTGGACACTATGGTGCTAATAAGCAATGGTCACATAAACACCGCCCTATACCAGAAACCTACTGACTACTATTCCTACCTACATGTCTCCAGCTTTCATCCAGACCACACCACACGATCCATTGTCTACAGCCAAGCTCTATGATACAACTGCATTTGCTCCAACCCCTCAGACAGAGACAAACACTTACAAGATCTCTATCAAGCATTCTTACAACTACAATACCCACCTGCTGAAGTGAAGAAACAGATTGACAGAGCCAGAAGAGTACCCAGAAGTCACCTACTACAGGACAGACCCAACAAAGAAAATAACAGAACGCCACTAGCCATCACCTTCAGCCCCCAACTAAAACCTCTCCAACGCATCATCAAGGATCTACAGCCTATCCTGAAGGACAACCCATCACTCTCAGAGATCTTGGGAGACAGGCCAGTCCTTGCTTACAGACAGCCCCCCAACCTGAAGCAAATACTCACCAGCAGCCACACACCACACAACAAAACACTAACCCAGGAACCTATCCTTGCAACAAAGCCCATTGCCAACTGTGTCCACATATCTATTCAGGGGACACCATCATAGGGCCTAATCTCATCAGCTACACCATCAGAGGCTCGTTCACCTGCACATCTACCAATGTGATATGTGCCAGCAATGCCCCTCTCCCATGTACATTGGTCAAACTGGACAGTCTCTACGTAAAAGAAAAAATGGACACAAATCAGACGTCAAGAATTATAACATCCAAAAACCAATTGGAGAACACTTCACTCTCTCTGGTCACTCGATTACAGACCTAAAAGTGGCAATACTTCAACAAAAAAACTTCAAAAACAGACTCCAATGAGAGACTGCTGAATTGGAATTAATTTGCAAACTGGATACAATTAACTTAGGCTTGAATAGAGACTGGGAGTGGATGGGTCATTACACAAAGTAAAACTATTTCTCCATGTTTATCCCCCCTCCACCCCCCCCGTTCTTCAGATGTTCTTGTCAACTGCTGGAAAATGCCCACCTTGATTATCGCTACAAAAGGTTCCCCCTCCCCCGCTGCTCTCCTGCTGGTAATAGCTGACCTTAAGTGATCACTTTGGTTACAGTGTGTATGGTAATATCCATTGTTTCATGTTCTCTATGTATATAAATCTCCCCACTGTATTTTCCACTGAATGCATCCGATGAAGTGAGCTGTAGCACGTGAAAGCTTATGCTCAAATAAATTTGTTAGTCTCTAAGGTGCCACAAGTACTCCTGTTCTTTTTGCGAATACAGACTAACACGGCTCCCACTCTGAAACACACACATCTGTGTGTGTGGTGTAGAATATTGTGTATAAATATATTGTACAAATATGTGAAGTGTTGAGGACCTAAGCCAACATACTTCTTTTCTTAACATCCCATACACTGCTTTAATTTTTACATAGATTACATTTATATACAGTTGGGGGCAGTTAAGTTCCAATAGAAGCCCATTATGTTCTTTTAGCAAATTTGACTAAATTGTCCATAGTCAAATTATTTAAATCAGATTGTCTCTTTGCCTGGATTATTTACAGACATTTCTTTGGAAAAGGGCCCATTTTTCCTTCAGAATGGCTGGCTGCAAAGAAACCAAGAATTATTTCCCTGTAACACTTTTCCTTTTTAACATTTTCACAGTTTAACTGCTTAATTCCCTCCAGCCTCTGCAGAGTTAATTTCTCACTCTTTCCTTAAATCACTTGCTTATCTCCCAAAATGACACCATCAGTTCAGATATCACCAGAAATCTGAATTCCCCATGCCTGTACTTACTCCTTTCCTTACTCCTGCCACTATGCCCCCCAGGGCTCCCAACCTGTTTTCCAATCTCTTTATCTGTTGCCTGTCTGCTTGTCTGGTCCTGATCCTGTTTTCCTCACCGAACCTTCCCTTCCCATGGGCACAGGCTTTGTCCCACTAACCATTTAGCAAGGAGGGTGGGCTCCTTAACGTGCCCCCACACCTCCTGGTCCCTTTTCTTAAACATTTTTCTTAACATTATGAAATCACAACAATATTACACTCCTATATCCCCCATAGTGAAGTCTTACATAAATCTACTCCTTATTTGCCCATGCTTGTGCTGCGTCTTACAAAACACAAAAAGTCTATACTCACTAAAAAAAACTGCCTGACAGAGCAGGAGGGGAAACACTAAGCCCCCACCTTTTGGGTTCGATCCTGCTACGACCAAGGGTATATTCACCAATGCAATTTTTCCCCGACAGATGGGTAGGAGCAAGGATTCTGATCGTCCCCCTTATGGCACGGCACTTCTACAACCGGGGGTGTGCACACCTGAATGATTGATCACTTTATACGTATGGCATACCTTTTACCAGTATTTAGCAGTATTTTCAATAATCACAGTGCATGTCTTCCCCCTTTTGCAATTCTCCACCAAAAATGTTATGCTTATAAGAAGCACATGGGATCTTTTTCAGGGGAAAAGGCAATACACTGCATTTATTGAAGATATAACAATTAGCATATGCATTCAATCACCCCCCGCACACACACACTGTCCCACCAGTCAATGTTATAGTTACCAGTCCAGAGTCTGGATCAATATAGTGGCCAGCTAGATCACAGGAGCTGGGTTCTGTCGGTCGTGACACGATGCTCTGGGGAAGTCTTGGCAGGATGAACCCGAAGTTTCATGGCAAGGTACCCTGTTTATATGGAGATTTTCCTTCATTGGGACCAATGAGTTTTGCACCATACAGCTGTAATCAATTGTTGTTTGACAAGTACTTATTTTCTTAAATTGTTTTTCTCATCCTTTTATCTTGTTATTTCATTAAGTCTCTCAGGGAGTTATCCCAGGCTGGTTTTGATCACAGATCTCTTGTCCCCATTTATAGGTGCCTGTCTCATCTTTAGAGTCGTTAATCTGCCCTCCTCTGACATTTCAAAAGGGGCCTGTTGCAGCCTCCTGGCACCCTTGTGTCTGTCTCTGGTTCCTCCCTAGAACATCTGGTTCAGTGATGGCCTTCACACTTATCTCTTAACACCCATTCCTTATTCACACACAAAACAGAATTAATTTACATAGAACATTTTGAATAGGAACATCAAATTGCAATGCAGAAGAAAAACAATCATGGCATTCTTTTACTTATTTTAAAATGCTAAGCCTACAACAAAGTGGTTAACAAAATGGGATTAAGAAGTGGTCTTTTTCCTCCTCAGAAAGGTTGCTCACTGGTAGTCATGGTAATTATCTCCAATGCCTTGGTAAGGAATAACTTGTCCAAAGTTGCTTGATGCAGAATTTTTGACCCAAGAAAGAAGGGAAATAAGCCACAGATTTATGTCCTTCTGATAAATTTTTTGGCTCTACAAGAAATTCTCTTAAGTGGGATCCCCAGAATCCAAGGAAATCAGATCTTATGGGCTGAAATAGAAGCCTTTGGATTGGTTTGAATCCAAGACAGATCAGGTTAGTCTTGAAATAAATATTTTGAAAACAGATCCATCTTGGATAAGAAAGTCTTGCATCCATGAGCTGGGATTCCTCTCAATGCAGAGGAGAGAGAAAAAGAGACACCATAATTCTCAGGACAGATTCAACAGATAGATTCAGTTGTGCCTTCTCAGATCCTGGGATAACTGAAAGAATAGATGCCCTTGAATCGCAGGGAAGTTTGATCACTCCTTTGGAACTAGCTATTCACTTGGTAAAGGCCACAAGTCTGTGGAGAGCCTTACTAGAGGATCTGTTCAAGAGAACTAATTCAGCATTGATTCTGAACCCAATCTCCTAGCCGATCCACTCCTCCAGTGGCAGCTGTATTTCTCCAGCACTGTCATTTTCTGAGATCTAAGATTATTTATTTTGGTATTCATAGAATCATAGAATATCAGGGTTGGAAGGGACCCCAGAAGGTCATCTAGTCCAACCCCCTGCTCGAAGCAGGACCAATTCCCAGTTAAATCATCCCAGCCAGGGCTTTGTCAAGCCTGACCTTAAAAACCTCTAAGGAAGGAGATTCTACCACCTCCCTAGGTAACGCATTCCAGTGTTTCACCACCCTCTTAGTGAAAAAGTTTTTCCTAATATCCAATCTAAACCTCCCCCACTGCAACTTGAGACCATTACTCCTCGTTCTGTCATCTGCTACCATTGAGAACAGTCTAGATCCATCCTCTTTGGAACCCCCTTTCAGGTAGTTGAAAGCAGCTATCAAATCCCCCCTCATTCTTCTCTTCTGCAGGCTAAACAATCCCAGCTCCCTCAGCCTCTCCTCATAACTCATGTGTTCCAGACCCCTAATCATTTTTGTTGCCCTTCGCTGGACTCTCTCCAATTTATCCACATCCTTCTTGAAGTGTGGGGCCCAAAACTGGACACAGTACTCCAGATGAGGCCTCACCAATGTCGAATAGAGGGGAACGATCACGTCCCTCGATCTGCTCGCTATGCCCCTACTTATGCATCCCAAAATGCCATTGGCCTTCTTGGCAACAAGGGCACACTGCTGACTCATATCCAGCTTCTCGTCCACTGTCACCCCTAGGTCCTTTTCCGCAGAACTGCTGCCTAGCCATTCGGTCCCTAGTCTGTAGCTGTGCATTGGGTTCTTCCGTCCTAAGTGCAGGACCCTGCACTTATCCTTATTGAACCTCATCAGATTTCTTTTGGCCCAATCCTCCAATTTGTCTAGGTCCTTCTGTATCCTATCCCTCCCCTCCAGCGTATCTACCACTCCTCCCAGTTTAGTATCATCCGCAAATTTGCTGAGAGTGCAATCCACACCATCCTCCAGATCATTTATGAAGATATTGAACAAAACCGGCCCCAGGACCGACCCTTGGAGCACTCCACTTGACACCGGCTGCCAACTAGACATGGAGCCATTGATCACTACTGATCAATACTGTACTGTATTGCTAATACATGTACTGTATTGCTAATACATGTACTGTATTGCTGAGGGCCTTGGGTCTGGGGAGGCAGACTAATTTGTTGCTTCTCCTATCATTGCTATGGAGTCTGATCCTGGGGTTCCTTGATGATCTATTATTATTTTTAATTCATTTAATTAATTCATATGGTTAATTACCTGATGCTAATGGTTCTTACTATTTTGAATGGTTCTGGGGCTTTGTGGCCGTGCATGTGAGCCACACAATGGGGCTCTGAAAACAGGGTGCATTCAGAGAGCAGCAGCTGCTTGATAAGTAACACTCTTTCCTTCATCTTTAATAGTTTACAGGTACTTAGAAGTGACACTTATCTTGATTCTCAGCAGCCGCAGCAGTCACCACCCACTGGGGAGAGAGCAGCAAACAGCCAGGATTCGAAATATTCCTGTGGTCCTGGAGAAGGACAAATTAGATTCTCCCTTTTCTTCAGTGTGAGGTTGGTTATATTTAATTTAATTTTCACATAGAAAATAAATGATGTCTTGATTTTGGTAGACAATGGTACCATGACAGGTTTCAGAGTAACAGCTGTGTTAGTCTGTCTTTGCAAAAAGAAAAGGAGTACTTGTGGCACCTTAGAGACTAACCAATTTATTTGAGCATGAGCTTTCGTGAGCTACAGCTCACTTCATCGGATGCATACCGTGGAAACTGCAGTAGACATCATATACACACAGAGACCATGAAACAATACCCCCTCCCACCGTGGGGTGGGAGGGGGTATTGTTTCATGGTCTCTGTGTGTATATGATGTCTACTGCAGTTTCCACGGTATGCATCCGATGAAGTGAGCTGTAGCTCACGAAAGCTCATGCTCAAATAAATTGGTTAGTCTCTAAGGTGCCACAAGTACTCCTTTTCTTTTTGCAATGGTACCATGGCAGACTTCCTGTGCCCTTCTGTTTGGATAAGTTAGTTACTCTGAAACCTTAGTTAGAACTAAATTCCTCTCCTATGATGCCATCAATGCTCATGGCCTGATCCGTCCCTTCAGGGCCAAATGGTGCTATTTAGCCACTTACCTCTGCAGGAATGGATACAGAACCACACTGCCCAAGGGGAGTTTGGGGACAAATTGTTCTTCAGAGAGGCACAGTCCTTCCCTGAGTACACTGGTAAACCAGGCCTACTCCATGAGCCAGTGCAGAGGAGAGGCAGGGCCTCCCTTTTGGGGTGCTCATAGCATCTCTTCCTCCTGGGAGAATTCTGTGCAAAAAAAAAAAAAATTCTGTGAATGCTACTTTAAAATTCTGTCTATTTTATTTGTCAGAATAACACTATATACATTTTGGTATTATTATTAAATTATTTTGGTAATTTATTTAAAAATACCTGTCAACAAATATGTCTTTAAAAATACAGATGCACAAAATTCCCTCAGGAGTAGAGAGTTAAAGAAATCCCTATGACAACCCAGTTCCTGTTTCTCTGCCCCCTCCCCTCCCAGAGCCCAGCCGTGGGGCATCCCCTCCCCAGTGCAAACACTCCTCCCCCAGAGCCCAGCTGTAGGCCCCCCACAGCCCAGACACCCACACCCCCTACCTACCTAACCTGCAGAGCCCAGGGATCCAGTGGGAAAAGCAACCTGATGCTGGGTCCTGGGCTTGTGTGTAGTTCCCTGCATGCTGCCCTTTTCCTTCAGGGCGTGCTGAGAACTGCACTTGCTGGGAACCCTCCAGATCTCTCCCCCTGGCAGTCTCTTCTATTTCAGAGCTGGGTTCTCCTGGGTCCAGAGGCCCCCAGTGGTGGCTAGCAGCTCTGCAGCCCATTTCTGTGAGGAGGAAAAAGGAAATTCTGCATGCACAACTTTAATTTCTGTGCAAATTCTGCATGCACAGTGGTGCTGAATTCCCTCAGGAGTAACCTCTGGAGTCACCCTTAGGGAGCTGTCTTTGCAATGCCCTGACTGTACGTTAAGGACTCAGAGCGCACTGAGCCAGCAGTTCCTCCTAGCCTGGGAACGCGTCCCTCCCTAACCTTAATAGTCTCTTAAAGCCAGTTTTTGTATGGAAATATTACCTCTCCCCTCCCCAGACTGGAATGCCACCCCACATGCACATGCTAACTCACGCACAAACTGCCTTAAATTTACTCTCCAGAATTAAAGGAAAGAGCCCCTCCCCAAACAATATGAACGTTGGGAGCAGGCCTGTGATTTGGAGCACATGCTGCCCTGTTGTTATCCTGTAACTAACTGGAGGAGCAGCTTGGGGCAAGGTGCTGGCCTAGCTACTGGTGTCCTGAGGAGTTGGAAGCTGAGAGGAGTTGGAAGCAGTTGGTGTGAGCAGTGCAGCCAAATCCTCTGAGTCCCGCATGATGCCTTCTCAGGCCTCTTCCCCTGGTGATGTCTCCAACGCCCATCTCGTGTGATGCCTCCTCTACCCCAGACCTCCCTACTGGTGCATCATCCCACTTCCCCCTCCCCACCTCTCTCCATGAGGACACTTTACATCAATGAATGTGAATTGTGGTGGTGGAGGCTGGAGCATGCAGGCTGATCCTGACTGCAGAGTGGAGAGAATGAGTGAGCCACAGCAGATATCTGTCTACACTGTAGTTGGGAGCAAGTCTCCCAGCTTGGGTAGACAGACTTGTGCTAGCAGGGCTCGAGCTAGCACACTCAAAATAGCTGTGTGGACACTGCTGCTTGGGCTGGAGTGCAGGGTCTTGAGCCCATCCAGCCCCCCCCTGCTTGAGAGCCAACATTCCAGCCCAAACTGCAACATCCACATTGCTAACACACGTCTGCCTACCCAGGCTGAGAGGCTCACTTCCCACTGCAGTGTAGACAGATACAGAGGGGCCCTGGCCCTGAAGGACTCACCTCAGGCTGTGGTTGCCTCCTTACTCCCTGTCTTCACTACTCAGGAATAGGATATCTCCCCAGAGGAGAGGCACTTCAGCAGCAGTAAGATCTGTGTCTTTTCTCAGCCCCAGTGACTCTCTGTATCTCCAGATAAAGGACTTTGTTTCTCCTATAAATATTCAAATTGAGGGAAATGTGTAGGGTGACTCTTGGACTCAGTCTTCTCCCCTTTAAAGGTCTCTGTGTTGTCATAGGACGGCAACAACATGTCTAGAAACCCACGTGCACCAGATACGACAGTAGTGGCCAGGGAAGATCACCACGAAGCAGAAGATTTTGAGATGACCCTGGCAGAGCTGCATGCCCTGATGGAGCTACGATCTGTGAATGCTCTGAAAAAAATAAAAGAAAGTTATGGAGATGTCTTTGGAATCTGCACACGGCTCAAAACATCCCCCCAAGAAGGGATAAGGGGAGACCCGTTAGATATAGCCAGAAGGCAAGCAGTTTTGGGGAAGAACTTTATACCCCGCCAAAAACCTAAATCATTCCTTCAGCTGATATGGGAAGCATTACAGGATGTAACATTAATTACATTAGAAATTGCAGCCACTGTATCACTAGCACTTTCTTTTTATACCCCGTCACGAGGAAAAAATACAGTGTGTATAGACAACCATTCTGCTACTGAAGAGGGTGAAAATGAGATGGCTTGGATTGAAGGAACTGCAATTCTTTTGTCCGTAGCTTGTGTAGTATTGGCAACAGCTTTAAATGATTGGAGTAAGGAGAAACAATTTAGGAGGTTGCAGCATCGTATTGAAAAAGAACAGAAGTTTGCTGTCATCAGAGATGGTCAAGTCATCCAAATACCCATAACTGACATAGTAGTTGGGGATATTGTGCCTATCAAATATGGTGACCTTCTACCAGCTGACGGTGTGCTTCTCCAAGGGAATGACCTCAAAATAGATGAGAGTTCACTCACAGGAGAATCTGATCATGTTAAGAAAACTTTGAGTGGAGATCCCATGCTGCTTTCTGGTAGCCATGTGGTGGAAGGCTCTGGAAGAATGGTAATAACTGCAGTGGGTGTAAACTCACAGATGGGAATTATCCTCACTTTGCTTGGAGTGGGAGGAGAACAAGGGAAGGAGAGAGTGAAAAAGAAAAAGAAAGAACAAGATGGCTCGCCTGAGAACAGCAACAAAGCAAAAGCTCAGGATTATGCAGCCACAGAAATGCAGCCTGGAACTAGTGAAGAAAGCACTAATGGAGAAGAGACAGTCAACAGGCAATCAAATTTGCCAAAAAAAGAAAAATCAGTCCTACAAGGGAAACTTACCAGATTAGCAGTTCAGATTGGCAAAGCAGGGTTGGCAATGTCTACAATCACAGTGGTTGTCCTTATAGTTTATTTTTTAATTAAAACATTCTTGATTCAGGAGCATATTTGGACTGCTCAGTGCACCCCAGTTTATATAAAATATTTTGTGAAGTTCTTCATTATTGGAGTTACAGTCTTGGTGGTGGCCGTGCCAGAGGGTCTCCCACTTGCTGTCACTATTTCACTTGCCTACTCTGTAAAGGAAATGATGAAAGATAATAACCTAGTGCGGCATTTGGATGCTTGTGAAACAATGGGCAATGCAACAACCATTTGCTCGGATAAAACGGGAACATTAACCATGAACAGAATGGCAGTAGTCCAGGCTTTCATCAGCGAAATGCATCATAAAATTATTCCTGCATGTGAATCAATTCCTCAGACTACTCTGAACTATCTTTTAACAGGTATTTCTGTGAATTGTGCTTACACTTCCAAAATATTGCCTCCTGAAAAAGAAAGTGGCTTGCCACGTCAGGTTGGCAATAAAACTGATTGTGCCTTGCTGGGATTTCTTCTGGATTTAAAACAGGATTATCAGGCTGTAAGAAATCAAATACCAGAAGAAAAGTTGTATAAAGTATACACCTTCAACTCTGATAGAAAATCAATGAGTACGGTATTGAAAAATGTTGATGGTAGTTACCGAATGTTCACCAAGGGTGCTTCTGAGATAGTACTTAAAAAATGCAACAAAATCTTGAATGCTGCTGGTAAACCTAAACCATTCAACTCAAAGGACTATGATGATATTGTAAAAAATGTGGTCAAACCTATGGCTTCTGATGGACTCAGAACCATATGTCTAGCATTCAAAGATTTCCCAGCTGGGCAGCCTGAACCAGAGTGGGACAATGAAAACAATATTATCATGGAACTTACATGTATTGCAGTTGTTGGCATTGACGATCCATTGAGGCCTGAGGTTCCTGATGCAATAACAAAATGCCAGAATGCTGGCATCACAGTGCGTATGGTTACTGGCGATAACATTAATACTGCACGCACAATTGCTTTGAAATGTGGTATTTTGCATCCTGGGGAGACCTTCCTTTGCTTAGAGGGAAAAGAGTTGAACAGACTAATTCGTAATGAAAAAGGAGAGATTAAGCAAGAGCTCCTAGACAAGATTTGGCCAAAACTTAGGGTGCTTGCAAGATCCTCTCCCACTGACAAACACACATTGGTAAAAGGTATAATTGATAGCACCATCTCAGAACAGAGACAAGTTGTGGCAGTAACTGGCGATGGTACTAATGATGCACCAGCATTGAAGGAAGCAGATGTTGGTTTTGCTATGGGCATTGCTGGAACAGATGTAGCTAAAGAAGCATCGGATATTATTCTCACAGATGACAACTTCACAAGCATCGTTAAAGCAGTTATGTGGGGCAGAAATGTATATGACAGTATCTCCAAATTCTTGCAGTTCCAGCTTACTGTCAATGTAGTAGCAGTAATTGTTGCATTTGTGGGAGCATGTATTACACAAGATTCACCACTGAAAACTGTGCAGATGCTGTGGGTGAACCTCATTATGGACACATTTGCTTCTCTTGCTTTAGCTACCGAAAAACCAACTGAGTCTCTCTTGCTACGGAAGCCTTATGGAAGGAATAAACCCCTAATCTCCCACACAATGATGAAAAACATTTTGGGTCAGGCATTCTATCAGCTTGTGGTCATCTTTACACTTGTTTTTACTGGTGAAAAGCTTTTCGATATTGACAGTGGAAGAAATGCTCCTCTGCATTCCCCACCCTCCAAGCATTACACAATTGTATTCAATACTTTTGTGTTGATGCAGCTTTGTAATGAAATCAATGCCCGAAAGGTTCATGGTGAAAGGAATGTCTTTGAGGGAATATTCAGTAATGCCATCTTTTGTGCTATAACTGGTGGTACATTACTTGTACAGTTAGTTATAGTAGAGGTTGGTGGGAAGCCCTTTAGTTGTACTGAGCTTACAGTCGAACAGTGGCTATGGTCACTTTTCCTAGGGATAGGAACATTACTGTGGGGCCAGCTGATAACAACAATTCCAAATAGCTATTTGAAGTTCTTGACAGAACTTGGTCGTGGGCGACCAAAGGAAGAAATCTTTGAGGCAGAACTAGCTGAAGGTGCAGGAGAGATTGACCATGCTGAAAGAGAATTATGTCATGGTCAGATCTTATGGTTTAGGGGGATTAACAGAATTCGAGCTCAGAGCCAAGTAGTGAATACATTTCGTACTTCCTTTTACGAGGAGTTAGAAAAACCACAAACACAAAGTTCAGTTCGCAGCTTAAGAAAATCTAAGCAATGAATTTTAAGTCCTACCTTCCCATTATTGAAACATCACTCAAAAAATAATACTGGGCTAAATGTTAACGCATTCACTGTGTTAAGAAATATATGGCGTTTTTCACACACGGTGATAACAAGACACTCTTTTTGTCTTGAACTGCAAAGGAAGGCACACTGGTGTGAATGGAGATTCAGCATAAAAAGGCTGCTCCTAGCTGTACTCAAAAATGGGACTGAAGAGCTTATTAACAGCACTTATGTTTATCTTGAGCCTTTCATTTGGCTTTTTTGAGGGAAAGGGGTGAGCATGCCTCCAATCTATTAACTAATTTCTGATGTCAGCTGTTAAAATGTGACTAGTTTATTTTATAAAAGATAAAGATCTTTTTATAAAGTTCATAGATTCTTTTAATTTTGCTCTGTTTATGGCACATAACATAGTGGTATCACTGGAGTTTTGAAGTGACTTCACTGCACAGCATGAATGGATTTGAGTACAGTGTTTAATATTGTTAAATCTTGAGAACTGTCTGGAATAACTGGTTTTGTTCAAAATTCAATAGGATATTGTTAAATGTGGAAGATCGATAAACAATGGAACTTGCTTGAAATGTTTTTTAAATCTAACATAAAATGTGTTAAATCAAAATGGATCAGTACATTAGTCATTTTTGTCATTATATTAGCTCATTGCTATCCTGGAGCCCCATCCAGCTCTCATTTAAGTCAATGGAATATTTGCCACTGACTTCAGCTGCGTCGGATCAGGCCCTTGACAATCTGTGGAATGGGAGTATGTTCATTTAAATCTAAGTGTTTAACAACCTCCCTCCAGCAGGAGGGTTGTGTGTACCAGGAGGAGTGTTACGATAGGTGTAGTTGGCATGTTTTTGTTTTGTTCCCCATAGTGTATGAACATTTCTTATTATCAAATAAAATAATTTTGTAAAAAGCTCTTTTCTCCCATATTACTTGATCAAGATAGAGGCCAGCATCTGGGAGAAATCATCAGGAAAGTGCCTAAAGGGGTGGGTTGGCTGCTTTGGCTGCACATGGCAGAAAGTTGGGGGAGCAGCTCCAAAGGGTCCTGTGCACTTTAAGAGGATGAATGGGAGGGGCAATACCATGGCTAAGGCAATGGCTGCTCATCTCACATTTTCAAAAGCCCAAAAGGCTCCCACCTCTCCCTGCAAATGCAGCTTCTCTAAGGGCTTGTCTATGCGCCGCTGTAGCACTTAGGGAATGTCTATACTTAAAACACTGTTAATAAAGACACTCTAAGCCGATGGGCGAGAGCTCTCCCATCAGAATAGTTAATCCATCTCCCCAAGACACAGAGGTGTTGCGCTGTGTACAAAGGGGATTAACTCAGTATAATTACATCACTTGGGGGTGGATTTTTCACACCCCTGAGCAACATAGTTATACCAATATAGGTCTGTAGTGTAGACCAGATCTTACTGAAGACGCTACCTACGCCGACAGGAGAGCTTCTCACATCAACATAGGTACTTCATCTCCCCAAGAGGCAGTAGCTAAGTTGATGGACGAAGCCCTCCTGTCAACATACCACTGTCTACACTGGGTGTTAGTATTTTCCACACCCCTGAGCAATGTAGTTTTACCAATATAAGTTCGTAGTGTAGACCAGGGCACCCATTGCCTCTCATAGCTGCAGCACACACCCATATGCTGACTGCAATGATAGTATGTGTTGGAGACAGAAAGACAGACAGAGTGACAGATTAAGTTGCTCTGGCCAAGGAAGGAGAGACAGAAGGGAAACTAGGCATACCTCTGGGGGAGGCCAGAGGGAGGAGATGATGTGCATTTTTTGATGGGATGAACCTTGTCAGGCTGGGGGATGATACACAGTGCTACACCTGTCATACTGCTTCCAGCCATGCTTCTGCCTCTTTATATAAAACAGAATGAAGAGCCAGGCTGGCACTGGCCCAGAGCTGGAAGAAGAGGAAGACACAGTTCTACTCTGCTAATAGGATGTCTGAGTGTGCCAGGGTCTTCCTTGACCTCCCAGAAGAACAGGCCATGCAGTGGTAGAGACTCACCATGCAACTGTAGAGTGAGCTCAGTGAGAACTTAGAGAGAGCCACAAAAGGGACGCATGCTCTTTGTGCCTTCAGCACAGTCACTACCATCCGTGGCCTTCCAAAAGACCAGAGAGGAGACTACAGACATTGCACAGCCTCAGGGAGTCCGTTCAGGCCTTTGTCAGAAGGGCACCAGATCACATCAGCTTCTCATTGAAAGAGTCACTCAGCTGTTGACCATGTTGGGGTTCCAATGTCCTCTCAATGCTGGGTTGTGGCGCCACAGGCTGAACAGTGCAGGCTTTCGTAATGGGTCTGTGCAAGGATTCCCAGTGACTGTCACACTGTTGTTTTATCCTCAATAATTCAGACCTCCCAGTGTTGGATGGAAGCGGGGAGGCAGATGATGGATTCCTAGTGGGTGAGTACCAGACAGTACTGAAGTGCACACTGTCTGGAGTGGCTCATGACTGTGAGTGCCTACCTCCGGGCAGACTGTCAGAAAAACGGCAGACACTTCAAGCTGGTGGTGTGTTCTATAATTAGATTTCACCAATCCAGTAACAAATGTGAACTCCTGGATCACTGTACCAGTCTTACCATGGAGTCACAGACTGTCCCCTCAGACTCTCCAGTCTATCTTGCCACCCAGACATACTGGACCTTGTGATAAAAGGTCACTTATACCAAAAATACACCAAATCAGGTTACTTCCAGTCCCAAGAGACCAGCCACTTACCCAAGATCAATTGGTAATCTAGATCTTATGCCAAAGACAACCCTGGCAGCCAATTCTATAGTAAACTAACTAAACATTTATTAGTAGGGCCCTACCAAATTCACAGTAATGAAAAACGTGTCACAGACCGTGGAATCTGGTCTCCCCCCATGAAATCTGGTCTTTTGTGTGCTTTTTACCCTACACTATACAGATTTCACAGAGGAGACCAGCATTTCTCAAATTGGGGGTCCTGACCCAAAAGGGAGTTGCAGGGGGGTCACAAGGTTATTTTAGGGTGGTTGTGGTATTGCCACATTTACTACTTCACTGCCTTCAGAGCTGGGTGGGCGGAAAGCAGCGGCTGTTGGCTGGGCGCCCAGCTCTGAAGGCAGCACCCTGCCAGCAGCAGCACAGAAGTAAGGGTGGCAACACTATACCATGCCACCCTTACTTCTGCACTGCTGCCTTCAGAACTGGGCAGCTGAAGAGTGGGGCTGCTGACTGAGGGCCCAGCTCTGCAAGAAACAGCGCAGAAGTAAGGGTGGCAATACCATACCATGCCATCCTTACATTTGTGCTGCTGCTGGCGGCAGCTCCTCCTTCAAAGCTGGGCTTCTGGCCAGCAGCTGCTGCTCTCCAGCTTCCCAGCTCCGAAGGCAATGCTGCTGCCTGCAGCAGTGCAGAAGTAAGGGTAGCAGTACTGCAACCTCATCTACAATAACCTTGTGACCCCCCCCCCAACAACTCCTTTTTGGGTCAGGATCAATGTCCCCTCTAATTTTTTCCATCCATGTGCAGAATGAATTTTGTTATGTTCACCAAATTACCGAGGTAATGTGCGGATGTGTGCCACCAGTAGAAACAAAAAACCTAGATATAATATACTTTGACAGAGTCAGGCCAGAGGGCTACAGGAGAGTGCTAGAAGGTAGACACATTAGCCCCAGATTAAGCAGGTCCCTTTTCCCTGAGTAAAGGAACAATCAGGAAGTTGCTGGAATCAGTTAGAACAGGCAGGATAATCAGGGCACCTGGTTTATAAAGGACCTCACTTCAGTTAGTGAGGTGCATGCAAGGAACTGGGAGCAAGAGGCTCGCAAGGAGCTGAGAGTGAGTAGGCGTACTGCTGGAGGACTGAGAAGTACAAGGGTCATCAGACATCAGGAGGAAGGTCCTGCGGTGAGGATAAAGAAGGTGTTGGGAGGAGGCCATGGGGAAGTAGCCCAAGGAGTTGTAGCTGTCACACAGCTGTTACAGGAAACACTGTGATTCACAGGGCCCTGGGGTGGAATCTGGAGTAGAGGGTGGGCCTGGGTTCCCCCCATCCACCCAACTCCCTATTGGATACAAGAGGAGTTGACCTGGACTGTGGGTCCCACCAGAGGGGAAGGTCTCTGGCTTGTCCCCCGACCCACTAGGTGGATCAGCAGAGACTGTGGGGATTGTTCTCCTCCCTTTCCCCATGCTAGTCAGTGATGAGGTTAGCTGAGTGAATGGCAGGTTTGAGCCACGAGCAAAAGTGACCAAACTGAGGGCTGCTGTGAATCTCTGAAGCAAGCAAATCCGCCAATAAGTGCAGGACCTACCAAGGCAGAGGAGGAACTTTGTCACACTATATTTTAAAAAAGTTACCATGAGGATAATTACTCCAGCCAGGACAGGTTAGGCATTTTATAAATCAGTACTCAAAGAATTAAATTTAAGAATAAGAGAGAAATAAAAATTATGAAATACATAGACCAGTCAAAAACCTCAAATAACAGTACTTTGAAAGAATAAAATCACAGAAGATATATGTGCATTGCAGGAAGTATCAAGAAGTAACAACAACCACAATAATACAACTATGTGCTGGGAGGTGAGTGTGAAAGACAGTTTGTGTGTGTGTGTGTGTGAGAGAGAGAGGCAGAGACATGTGTTTCCCCTTTAAGTATTTTCACAGCCTGGCAGGACTCCACAGTGGACTGCAGCTGCCCTGGGACTTCCTTCAGGTAATCAGTATTGCTAACTCTTATGCTATATTCCTTAAAGCCCCAGTGTGTACACATAGGCACAGGAGGATGATATTGAGGAGGAAGTGTGTATATACAGCATCCCCTTGAGTTCTGGGAGAAGTGGAGCGGCTTCTTCCCATGCTGAGTTATAGTGATTGGACTAAAATTTAAAGAAAGTATCCGTATGCCCAAAGTGTGGAGTCCTGGCTGAGTGACAGCTCCGACACTGAGCTGCGCGCTGATAGAGAAGTCAGCCCATTGCCCCAGACCCGGGTAACATGGATCCAGGGTGGGAGAACACATCTCCCAGAACACATTCCTCACTGAAAGGGGCCCTTTTAAAATTCTACAGAGGACCCAGCCCTCTCTCACCACAAGAGGCAGGTCTGTGGAGGTTACTGTCACTCGAGTGTTTACACATCAATTTACAGTGTTATGAATCATAGAATCATAGAATATCAGGGTTGGAAGGGACCTCAGGAGGTCATCTGGTCCAACCCCCTGCTCAAAGCAGGACCGATCCCCAACTAAGTCATCCCAGCC